AGATTGGTACAGCCACTGTGGAAAGCAATATGGAGTTACCTCAAAATTAAAAATGGAACTGCCTGATGACTCAGTGATTCCACTTCTAGGAATATATCTGAATAAACCTAAAACAGTAATTCAAAAGAATATATGAACCCTATGTTCATTGCAGTGCTATTTACAATAGGCATGATTTGGAAGTAGCACAAGTACACACTGGTAGATGAGTAGATAAAAAAGCTGTGGTAAATTTACACAATGGAATATCACTCAGCCGTAAAAAAAGGAAATCTTACCTTTTGCAACAGTGGGGCAGTCAATTAGCATATTCCCTCCTTTTTGGCTGTGGGCGCCATCTTTGCGATGGTGTGAGGGTCAATTAGCATATTCCCTCTTTATTAGATAGGATATTCTCTAGTCTGTACTTTACATCCCGTGACTATTTTCTAACTACCAATTTTTACTCCTTAATCCCTTCACCTTTTTCACCCAGCCCCCCAAACCCACTCCATTAGTTTGTTCTCTGCATCTATGAATCTATTCCTGTTTTGTTTGTTCATTTATTTTGTATTTTATATTCCACATATAAGTGAAATTATACAGTATTTGTCTTTCTCAGTCTGACTTCTTTCACTTAATGTAATAATATTCTCTAGGTCAATCCATGTTGTCACAAATGGAACTATTTCATACTTTTTTATGGTCAAGTAATTTTCCATTGTATATATATGTACCACCACTTTATTCGCTCGTCTATTGATGGGCACTTGGGTTGCTTCAATATCTTGGCTATTGTAAATAATGCTGCAATAAATAGGGGTGCATATATCTTTTCAAATCAGTGCTTTGGGTCCTTTGGATATATACCCAGAAGTGGAACTGCTGGATCATCAGGTAGTTCTATTTTTAATTTTTTTGAGGATCCTCCATACTCTTTTCCATAGTGGCTGCAACCTCTATTCCCACTAGCAATGCATGAGGGTTCTTTTTTCATCACATCTTCACCAACACTTGCTAATTGATAATAGCCATTCTGACAGGTGTGAGGTGATATCTCATTGTGGTTTTAATTTGCATTTCTCTGATGATTAGTGACATTAAGCATCTTTTCATATGTCTATTGACCATTTGTAAATCCCTCTTTGGAGAAGTGTCTATTAAGGTCCTCTGCTCATTTTTTAAATTGGACTGTTTGTTGGTTTTTGTTTTTTTGGTGTTGAGTTGTATGAGTTCTTTATAAATTTTGAATATTAACTCCTTATCAGATGCATCATTGGCAAATATCTTCTTCCATTCAACATATTGTCTTTTCATTTTGTTGATAGTTTTCTTTTGCTATGCAAAAACCTTTTAGTTTTATGTAGTCCCATTTATTTATTTTTGTTTACTTTTTCTTGCCCAGGAAGATATATCAGGAAAAAAAAATATTGCTAAGAGATATGTCAGAAAGTTTACTACCTATGTTTTCTTTTAGGAGTTTTATGGTTTTGAGTCTTACATTTAGGAGTTTAATCCATATTTAGTCTAGCTTCATCTTTTTTGTATATATCTGTCCAATTTTCCTAACACCATTTATTGAATAGACTGTCTTTACCCCATTGTATGTTCTTGCCTTTGTCATATATTGATTGACCATAGCAGTAGGTTTATGTCTGGGCTCTCTATTTTGTTCCACTGATCTATTTTTGATCCATTGTCTGTTTTTCATGCCAGTACCATGCTGTTTTGATTACTAAAGCCTTGTAGTGTAGTTTGATAATAGGTAGCATGATACCTTTGTCCTTTCACAAGATTGTTGTGGCTATTTGGAGTATTTTATGGTTCCATATAAATTTTTGGATTATTCTAGTTGTGTGAAAAAGGCCATTGGTATTTTGATAGGGATTGCATGGAATCTATAGATTGATTTGGGTAGTATGGACATTTTAACACTGTTAAATCTTCTTATCCATGAGTACAGTATATGCTTCCATTTATTTATATCTTTAATTCCTTCCATGTCTTATAGTTTTCCAAGTACAGGTCTTTTACCTCCTTGGTTAAAGTTATTCCTAGGGCCCGGCCAGCGTGGCTCAATGAGTGAGTGTCAACCTATGAACTAGGAGGTCACGGTTTGATTCCCGGTCAGGGCACATGCCCAGGTTGTATGCTGGTTGGAAACATGCAGGAGGCAGCTGATCAGTGATTCTATCTTATCACTGATGTTTCTATCTCTCCCTCCCTATCTGAAATCAATAAAAAATATATATCTAAAAATTTATTCCTAGGTGCTTCAATATTTTTTGGATGCAGTTGTAAATGGGATTTTCTTTTTTCTTTTTTAAAAATATTTTATTGATTTTTTACAGAGAGGAAGGGAGAAAGATAGTTAGAAACATCGATAAGAAACATCGATCAGCTGCCTCCTGCACATCTCCTACTGGGGATGTGCCCGCAACCCAGGTACATGCCCTTGACGGGAATCGAACCTGGGAGCCTTCAGTCCACAGGCCGACGCTCTATCCACTGAGCCAAACCAGTTTCGGCTAAATGGGATTTTCTTAACTTCTCTTTCTGATAGTTCACTATCTATATATATAAACGTCTAAGCAACCGTTACCAAATGATTGGTCGCTATGACAGCGCACAGACCACCAGGGAGCAGACGCTCAACGCAGGAGCTGCCCCCTGGTGGTCAGTGCGCTCCCACAGCCAACCTCCCATGATCGGCCAACTTCCCATGGTCCCTGCCCCCCGCCCCCCAGCCGGTCCCAATCAGGCCCGATTGCCAGCCAGGCCGAGGGACCCCACCCATGCACGAATTCATGCACCGGGCCTCTAGTTGGTGTAGAAAAATTCAACCTATTTCTGAGTATTTGTTATCCTGTTACTTTACTCAATTCATCAATTCTGGTAGTTTTTTGATGGAATCTTTAGGGTTCTCTACATATAGTATCATGTCATCTGCAAATGAGTTTTACTTCTTTCTTTCCAATTTGGATATACAGTGGGCCTTGACTTACGAGTTTAATTCATTCCGTGACGGAGCTCGTAACTCAAATTACTTGTATGTCAAATCTTAAAGTGAACGAGTGAGACACATGATGCTGGGCTGATGTTGTGGCGTTCACTGTGACGTTCGCTGCACCAACTAGCGGTGGGGTATCTGAAGCTGGCTCATAACCCGAATTTTAGCTCGCAACTCAAAGCAAAAAATTGGCCGAGAGACGGCTCGTATCTCGAAAAACTCATTAGTCGGGACACTCATAAGTCAAGGCCCCACTGTATGTATGTATTTATTTATCTTATTGCTATGGCTAGGACTTCCAATATAAGTGGTGAAAGTGGACATCCCTGTCTTGTTCCTGATCTTAAAGAAAACACTTTTAGAGAGCATTATGTTAAGTGAAATAAACCAGTCAGAGAAAGATAAGTATCACGTGATCTCATTTATATATGGGATCTAATGAACAAAATAAACTGATGAACAAAAAAGATCCAGAGATATTGAAGCATGGAATAGACTGACATATTTCAGAGGAAAGGGGTGGGGAGAGGGGGGTGTGAAGAGATTAACCAATGAACTTATATGCATAATGCATAGACCATGGACAGATAATAGTTTGGGGAAGGGCTGGGGTGGGGATGGGACTCTGGTGGAGGGGTTAATGGGGCAGGGAGAGGAAACATCTGTAATACTTTAAATAAGATAAATTGGGGGAAAAACACCTTTAGCTTTTCCCCATTGCAAATGATGTTAGCTTTTAGTTTGTTATATATGGCCTTTATTATGTTGAGGTATGTTCCCTCTATTCCCACTTTGCTGAGAGTTATCATAAATGGATAATGGATTTTGTCAAATGCTTTTTCTGCATCTACTGATATCATGATTTTTATCCTTCATTTTGTTTCATGGAATGGTTTTAGTTTTTATTCTCCAACTTATTCTGAGACAGGGAGAACTTATTTTAAAAATTATTATGTTGAAAATGAATAAATATGTCTACATACTTGCTCAAAGGTCAGTCCTTTTTGAAAGGTAGAAAATTAAGTAGAAGAACATTGTCTTTGGAGCTCAGGCTCCATCTGACAGCCTGTGCTCCAGGCAAACTTTGCCGCTAGGAGAGGAGCCTCGTCTGCAGGAGTAACCCTTGTCCAGGAATGTTTGCATTTTTAGGGGAAGAGGTTAGAGAAAAGACTCTCAGGTGGCCCTGGCAGGGGAGCCCACTACCAGCACCCCCATCCGTCCAAGGGGATCCATCCTTTGCCTGAGCTCACCTCCCTGCCCTCACAGGGAGGCCACCTCTCAGGTAACAGAGAGGCTGCGAAGGGTGCACTGGACAAGCCTTCTCTCTGGACGTTGCTGCTGATGGGTTAGGTGCTTAGTCATTTGAAGACTCAGTGTGGGCGTGACCTTTATCCCACTTTGCATCCCGGGCCTCTGCCTCTGCCCCTCTGGCTGCAGGGCTGTGCCAGGCTGAGATGGCAGCCTTCTCCCAGGACGCGGCTTGCAAAAACTGCCACTGTGTCACTGTTGTGCTGTTTTTTGTTTGTTTTTTAATAAATAAATGTAGAAGGAAATTGAACTTACTGATTCTATGGTTTTATCATAAGTGAAGAAATGAAAGGCCTAAAATGCCGTTTTAAACATTGGAAAGGGCACATTTCTTTGTGGAGATGCAGAACTTTTAACATCTGGCGAGTCTGCCCCACCCCTTACCTTCCTGGCTCAGGAAAAAGTTTCCTTTCGATGCTCCAAGTGGATGTGTTTTTGTTTTGTTTTTTGGCTGCTTACGCCAAGAAGAAAGGATGTGCGTGTTCCTGCTAGGTCCGTAGCCCTGGAATCTGGCCAACATAGAGTGGCAAACCCTTTCATCAGATAGTACATGACTGAAGGATTAACGTTTGTGTTTGTTATCAGTGGGCTTTCTGGATGCTGAGCTGTGTGGGTCATTCTTTCCTTTTCCTACTCGTGTATTTTATGCACAAACATGTAATAGTACTAAAATAAGGGGGAAAAGGTATTTGAAACATAGAAGTAACCAAATTATATAGCTTTTATTTTTGTGGAAACTCTGGACAAAAAAAACATTACATAGATATTTAGAAAGAAACTTCAGAGGCAAACTTGAGGGGCATTTTTTATTATAAATTTAATATGGTTGATTAATGAAAAATCACAATGAAGTACCGAGAAAATGTCTGTCAATATAAAAATTTTAGCAGCATTTTCAGTTTCAGGCTCTAACATTAGTCATACTTCCTCCCGCTATCAAAAAATAATCCAATGGGATACAGTGAGCATCAAGATGTTCAGCTTAGTGAAGGCCTCAAGGAAATCCTCAAATCCAGTGTATTATCTGATATTTCAACCGCCCCTCTCCCAAATTTCTAGAATGTCAAAGTATTTGCCTCAATGTTTGAGACAAGAATTCCTGCGGCTGCAGGGGAGAAAGGAGTGAAAATTAGAACTGGACTTGATATGTAGTGCTTGAGTGCATGTCCTCTGTACATTCTCTACATTGACAATGAACGGCCATGGCAGGGCTGACTGATACCTGCATGTGGCAGCAGTGGTGGGAGAGGGTGGGATAGGGAACCGGAAGTGGGACGTGTACATGATGGGGGACGGTGCCTCACCGCACACACTGCTGGGGCAGGCCAGAGCCTGGCAGTATTGCTACATCCCAAGCTAAAGGTAGGATTCATGAGGAGGGGAGACAAACAATATGAAAATATAATACTGGCAAACTATTCCCCTGCTTCTTTGGTACTCTCCAAAAATTCTCTGATCAAAAAAGCTAGGAAGCGCATATCATTAAAAAATTACAGTTTTAAGTATTTACAGAAGCAATTATGATATATTACATAATCAATACACAGTATATGAACAAACTTCAGTGAAAGCACTTGGGAACTCCTGTTCCACTATTATTCAATATCACTTCAACATACGCACACCTCCCAAATTTGTATCATACATCTCTCAGTTATCTTACAGTATGTTAAATGGGAACAATAGCATTTTCCAATCTACACTTTCCTTTTAAAAGGTTCTCAAAATTTGCCACTGAAATCACTATGTACAAAGATCTGTTGAATATTGAATTCTAGGCAATTCTCTCCACTCCCATTTTGGATATATTTGCAATAATGCTACCTATTCTATGTATACAATATGTATTTAATATATAAGTAACTGCACCATGTTATGTCACCACGATACCAGTTTAATGCACATGATATGTACAGTAGTTAAGTTAGCTCTGGAGGATGACTACCACCTAGGTGAACTGTGGTCTGGAACCACCTGCAGGGCGTGGAGAAGCTGGCTGGGAGGCAGCCCGTGCGTGGGCAGGACGCGTGTGCGTGTGAGAAATGTGGGCACACGCCTCCCACACATCCCCATGCCAGAACCTCCCTCGCTGGCTGGCTGGAAGAAGACAAATCACACATATGGAAGGATCCCGTACACAAGGAGAGCCATGACAGCAGCACTGAATAGCCCAGCCACGGGGACAGTCACAAACCAGGCCACAAAGATGTTCCGGAAGAGGTGCCAGTCCACAGCCTTCCGGGAGCGGATCCAGCCCACAGCCACCACGGAGCCCACCTGAGAGCAGAAACATTTTAAAGTTAAAAGAGCCCACAAACTCAACCAATGTAAACTGGCTAATCTCAAATAAATTACATTATAAAATTACCTGCTCTTTTCCCTAACTTTGCTAAAAGCTTCTAAACTGGTTTAGATTTTAGGTACAATTGTCTATGCTTCTGTACCTTATAAACTATGAATGCCCCTGTTTTAAATATTCCCCACGTAGGCTATGGCTTACTACAGTATGTAAACCGGCTTTAATTACATAACGAAGTGGCAATGATGTATCTTTCTCTTTGAAAAACAGCATCATAAAATGTTGGAGCTGGAGAAGACCTTTGAGAGTATGAGATCACACCGAGCCCTGGGGGCTCAGGGGCGCCAGGAGATACCACAGATCTCGCAGACTAAGGACTGGAAGTCAGGCCTCTGACATTAAACTGGCTTCTTCCATTATCTCAAACTGCCTTGCAGTCCTTGCACTTTAGCTAATTTAAAAAAATAAAATAAATGGAGCATAAATATTGGATCTAATGTCAATCACGCATCACAGAGGCATGACAGAGATCCGTGGAAATTAGAATATCAATACTGATTCAAATATTTTTCTAAATACTTGCAGTTCATTTTATGGTTTGCTGAAAGTCTAAAAAGGAAAAAGAAAAAAAGAAGACACTTCAAGTACCCTAAAAATCCTAAGAAAGTACATTCCCTTTACCGTCTCACTCCTCCCTCAGGCTCTGGGGAAGCTCAGAGAGTTTAACTTGTTAGGTGGCTCTTGAAGATCTCCATAAAACAGGCTTGTCTGCTGACCCTCCAATACTTCAGAATCAGCAGTGGCCAGTGAGATTCAAGTAGCAAAAAATAAAATATAACACTTTAAATTGTTTATGGAAGCCAAGCGAGCGCCAAAAACAGTAGCATATTTAAAGGCAGTTATTTAATGTGACATTTTGTCAACTTAAGCCATCAAATCCACAAACACTATCTCCTGAGATTAAATTCTTGTTACTGTGTCCCTGGAGTGTGTGCACCCCAGCTGTTCTGGATTACCTCCATGGCAAGGACACAGTCAAGTTTCTATTTTATCTGTGCCCTCTTCCTTTCTTAGAACACATATTTTTAAGCATAAAGGTAATAAAATAATTTTAGAGCAAGTGTATGTAATAGGAGGGATGGACAATTACTGAGAACCCAACTACTGTTATATTTATATATTCTTTTCTAGTATTTTTATAAATATACCTTTTTAAGTAAATAATAGGGTAGGCTACTATTTTTCTTCAAAAAAATTAACATTATATGCTAAGCATTTTCCCTTTGTACTCACAGCCTTTATGATTATCATGTAAAATGGTACATACTTTAGGTGGATGTACCTTAATTTATTTAACCATTTCCAATTTGCTTCAAATTTTTCCCTATCAGAAACAGTTCCATGATTAACATATTAACTCATACAGCTTATGTTTAGGCTTTAAAAAATAATATTGCCTGAAATGGATTATTCATTAAAGGGGACATTTATAAAACACCTTGAAATAATCTGAAACTTAAGAGAAAAGCTGCAAGAACTCCCACACACCCTTGACCAAAATCCACCAATTTTTAACATTTTGCCGTAATTTACAAAGAAACATTTTCATACCATTAAAATATCCTGCTCCTCATCAACCCCCCTCTTCCCTTCTGCTAAAGATTTAGCAATCTGATCTTTAATATGACGGTTGCAAAACAGTGATTTACCAAGGCCTTCCCATGTCTCTACTACATGCTAGGACCTCAGTATCTACTGCCAAAGTATTATAAACAGATGTGAATATACAAGGTCATCCATAACCTGTGAACTTCACACCACAACAATCCTGTAAATTGTTCTTTTTTGCCAATCAATCAACAAAAACATGTACTGCTGTTCCTATAATTTATATATCTTTGATTATGACTAAGGCTGAACTTTATCCAATTTTACTCCCTCTAGTCTTTACATATAAAAATTGTCTCTTTGTGTATTTTGCCCTTTTACATAATGGAATCTAAATGTAAATGTGTCCCTTATTTATTTATGTGAAAATAGTAATGCAAATATTTTCCCAACCCAAGTTTCTAATTTTATGCAATAACAAGACAAGCAATAACAAGTGTTCAGAGTTGTGGAGAAAAGGGAACCCTCATTCACTGCTGGTGGGAATGTAGACTGGGTAAGCAGTCTGGCGATTCCTCAAAAAATTAAGAATAGAGCTACCATACGACCCAGCAATCCTTCTTCTGGGTATCTACCCCAAAACTGGAAAACATGTATTCGCAAAGATCTATGCACCCCTATGTTCATTGCAGCATTATTCACAGTGGCCGAGACATGGAAACAACCAAAGTGCCCTGTGATAGAGGACTGGATAAAGAAGATGTGGTACATACACACAGTGGAGTACTACTCAGCCATAAAAGAAAGGATGATATAGAGTCATTTGCAATAACATAGATGGACCTTGAGAATATTACGCTAAGTGAAATAAATAAGTCAGAAAAATCTAAGAACCATATGATTTCACTCATATGTGGGATATAAAACTGAAACTCATGAACACAAACAGCAGTGTGGTGGCTGTCAGAGGGAAGGGGAGGAGGAACACAAATATATGGTGACGGGAGAAAATTTGACTTTGGGTGGTGGGCATATAGTGCAATATACAGATCTTGAAACATAGAAACCCATACCTGAAACCTATATGATCATGTTGACCAATGTCACCCCAATATATTTAATAAGAAAAGGGGAAAAAAGAGAAAAATGTTAAATTCTTCAACTATGAAAAAAAATAATTTCAGGCAATAAAATATGCTGCACTTTTCTCTACGATTTATCCTTAGCTTGAATATTTGATATATATATTTAATTCTTTTATTCTAAATTCTCTAAAACAAAGTCATATTTTATTTTAAATTTTAAAATATTTTAAAAATATTATTTAAGTCATCAGATATATGTTCATATATTTTGAGAGTTGTGGGTCTAATTTTGTTTTTCTAGATTGATAGCCAGCTGTCTAACATCCTTTATTGGTTAAATTTTCCCTTCCTCAAACTATATGCTCGTATATAACAGGCTCTCTCTCTTGCCTATCGACTGTTTGTAGATAAGTATCTAAGTATTTTTATTATTGTGCTAAAATATACATAACATAAAATTTATCATTTTAACCATTTAAAAAAAATATATGTTTTTACTGATTTCAGAGAGGAAGGGAGAGGGAGAGAGAAAGAGAGAAACATCAATGATGAGAGAGAATCATTGATCGGCTGCTTCCTGCACACCCTCTACTGGGGACTGAGCCAGCAACCAGGGCATGTGCCCTGACTGGGAATCGAACCGTGACCTCCTGGTTAATAGGTCTATGCTCAACCATTAAGCCACACCAGTTGGGCCATTTTTAACCATTTTTAAGTGTACAATTTAGTGGCATAAAGTACATTCACATTGTTTTGCAACCATTATCACCATTCATCTCTAGAACTTTTTCATCATCCCAAACTCTGTCCCCATTAGCACAATTCCCCACCCCCCTCACTTCCATCTACTTTTAACTCTTATTTCCTTACAATAAACTTTCTACCTGGCAAGGTCAGTCCCTCCTTATCACTTTTCTTTTTAGATCATTTTATGTCCTTGCTAATTTAATCTACCAAATGAACTTTAGATTCACTTTGTAAAGTTGTAAGAAAAATTCGGTTGGGGTTGTATTTGAGAACTGACATCTTTACAAAATCTAGTTTTCCCATCCAATAGCAAAGTGTATCTCCTACACAGGGTTCTTTCCTGTGTTCTAGCTTCCCTCTGAGGAAGCTGAGTGTGTTTCCAGCTTGCGGCCATCATCAGGCACTAACAGCAATAGAATTATTGAGAAATGGGGGAACCAGGGAGCAAGAATTAGAAAATTAGATTAGAATTTAAAATCAGTAGTGTTTCCTATAAGCAGTTCCAAATCCAACGGCTAGTTGAGTAATCATCAATAGAGATGAACAATGTGGGTAATTCACACAAAAAGGATAATCCCAAACCACGCCAATATGGATTAAAACATTTGGAAAACACCTCTGAATTCCTATAAAAGCGCCCACAAAGGACTGTCTGCATTAAATATTGGGACACTTAGAAGAAACATGAATAAATGAAATCTACCCAGGTAAATCACAAAAGCCCATTTTACACAACAGTTTCCATATTTTTTCCTGCCAAGTTCCCCACTTTTGCCCACTTTTTAATGGAGGTGTCTCTAAGCAAGAAACCTAACAAGTAGATGGGAGAGGAAGCAGAGAGCTGGACAAACTAAACACAAGGTCTAATTATTCCGGGAAACCTGATGGGATTGTTACGGTTTTATGTGGATGTCAACACCCTTTGAGTATTTCCAGATTCACAGCTTCGCTCACATAGGGCCTCATTCTTAATGCCATCCCACGTCTCTCATATTTCATCCCACATTGGCCATTTGGGGACTTGCAAGCAGAAAAAAACATGTGGTGTAACGGAGTAAGAGTTATGCGGCTGGCAGGCAACTGTGACCTCTTCTTAGCACTTATATGTGGACGGCACAGAGCCTCTCTGTCCACACCACTGAGGTTCCTGAGAGCCAGGACTCTGCCTCAGCTTCTGCAGTACCGTGATCTGGGCTTTGTCCACAGTCCATGATCAGTGACACTGGACAAACGGACGAGAATCTAGTGGAGCTCTGTCTGCCTAGTTCAGTGATGGCGAACCTATGACACGCGTGTCAGAGGTGACACGCCAACTCATTTTTTTGGTTGATTTTTCTTTGTTAAATGGCATTTAAATATACAAAATAAATATCAAAAATATAAGTCTTTGTTTTACTATGGTTGCAAATATCAAAAAATTTCTATATGTGACACGGCACCAGAGTTAAGTTAGGGGTTTTCAAAATGCTGACACGCCGAGCTCAAAAGGTTCGCCATCACTGCACTAGACCTAGCTTTGGCTGATGCCAGTGTATTTGATAATATTTACAGTCAGATATATCTTTACAGTCAGATATATCTTTCCCAAATTCTGGTCCCTTAGACATAATC